CCATGATCTTGCTTTACATGTAAAACGAATCAATGATGATACATGCTACCAAATTATTCTTCAGTAACGGCATTTGTTGAAAAATAAAACTACAAAGAGAGTGGATGATAGAAAAACACTTTAATGAAACTTAACATCATAATCAATTTTTTTAGTGAAAAAACAGACTGACAAACAAAATGCATTTCCTTCCATTAAGAAGTCAGACAATGCATAAATACCCTTACAGTTACTTGCTAACATTCTTAATGTATATATTGAGTTTTACGTATTTACACTTCTTTATCTCTTCTAACGTTGAGTGTAAAATCTATATTATACTTTCATTTTCAAAATAACATGCTTCCTGATTTATGATCTCTGTCGTGCTTTTTTGAACATTTGATTTTTTAGTACTCTCATCACATCCATGCTAATATATACTCAGCAGAGTCTGATTATTTAAGACTTAATTAAGTAAACAAAACCAAAATATCAATGTCAGGTAATCTCTGGTAGAGAATAACGAATGTTGTGAGATTTACAATTCATCATATCTCAGTCTGGGAATGATCAATTATTGGAGTGGCGTCATTCCTTTAAAGTTAAAGGTTCAATATTGTAGTTTGCAAGAATTTTACATCTCTCAAAAGATGATCAGCAGACTTAATCAGCCAATCAAAATTTACCTTGTATTAATTTCTATAGTTTACAATTACAATCTATTAAAACCTTAAACAAATGCCCCAAATAGTGGAGCAGGTTTAGATTTTCATTGCCAGTACATTTTCATTGTAACATGTACATTGTTACAAGCTTGTTAGGAAAGAAGAAACATTAGTTACCAACTGACCTGCTGTAAATAGATTTGTTATCTCTTATCTATAATTAATTAAAAAAAAACTACCATCAAATTTTTATTTCCTGACAATGTTTGATCAGAGATTATTTTCATTACTGACCTCATCTATTATTTTTAATTATATCCAATCAAATTCTGTGTTATCAAACAGTTTAAGTAAATACAGATGCCAATCAAAATTGATCAACAGTATACAAACACCTGGTATCAGGTTTCTAACTTCATTATAGTGTTTGATTTATGAAACAGGCCTAATTCTTATCTTTTTAGGGCACTGCCAGTTTGGCCTCAGGTTTTTTGCCAAATTTCGGGGCACAAAGGCCAATGATGGGGGCATCAAGGCGAAAAAAGTTTTCAGCGGCAGGGCACCGAGGCAAAAATGTGTTGTTTTCTTTATAACTGGCTTAATCAAGGATCAGTATGTGATGTACTAAAGGACTAAAACACTACAACCTTTTTGTTAAAGTGCAAATCAGAGTTCTTAATCCAATTTGAAGCTTCAATTCCCTTTGATAAAAAACAGACGCCAACAAAATGATATGTAATTGGCCAGATTTGTGGCTCAGGTAGACTGACAATCGTAGTTTTAGAGAAGTAGTATGTAGAGTTTAAGCCTGTGGCTGTCCAAGAATTTAACTTCCCTAACTACAAAAAACACAATAAACATACTTTCTGATAGTAAGCAGTGTTTTTGGCGAAAATATAAAATTGTTTCATGTGTACTAACAGTAAAAAACCAGAACAAGTTACTGTATATAAATTGGATTTTCAAAACATAATTTAATTCTAAATATTATTAGTGAAGGCAGAATCCTAACAAGTTACTGTAAATAAATCAGATTTTTAAAAAATAGATTAATTCTAAGAATTGTAAGTGAGAGGCAGAATCCTAACTTGTGTTTACAATAGTTGATGAAACATTGATCGCCCTGGTCCAACAGGCACTGCCACCTGTTGGATTTTCTTGGAAATGTAATTATAGCCCCTCCTACTAGTTTTGGTCTATGCTTTCATACAATGTACATACATATAGTAATTTTGAATTCATTCAATTGGACTGTTTTAAATTCTAATCTCCTCTCCTAAGTAGGACCAATATAGCAAACTCAATACCGTATATTGAATTGTTTGTAACGTAAAGTAATGACGCAAAATAAAATCTAATTAAAATGAGTCCATATAAACTTGAAGAAAGACTTCATATCGATCTGATTTTTTTTTTCATAAAATGTCAACTAGATAATTGAATTCAATTTAGAATTGCAATGGAATGTCATATCTGATCAATCTCAGATATTCAACTTTTTTTTTTCTAAATTAAATAGAAGTACAATGTACATGTAGCCTAGTAGATGGTAAATATAATACTATCTTTTTGTCTGAAAATACTAGTACATAATTTTGAGATTCATACATGCCTTGGTATCTCTTTAAAAAATTGAATGTAAAAGTCATCCAAGATGATGGAACCAGAGAAAAGATGCCTTAGTTTTGAAAACAAAAATCATATCATTGTTATGGCTTGGCAAAGTAGGCTGTTTTGCTTTTTTGAAGTCATAAAAAATAAGGCACCTAAACCATGAAATTTTTGCAAGTGAAACAGTACGCTTATGTGCATATACGTAAACATAAAAGCTAACAACCAGTACAGTACAGTAGGCCCAATTATATCAAGTATTTATAAGGCCTATTAATAATGACACATTAACTCATTCTGGCCTAATAAAAAGTAATTTAAGAAAAATATACTGCTATACTTGTAAATAAATTAGGGCTGCAACGACATACGGAGAGATGGTACACCGTGTTGTAAATGTGGCGATTCGGTTCACGGTACTTTAAGTTCCGCACCGTAGTTCGGTAAATATGGTGCAGATTTTTTAAACGTCCGATTTTTTTTCCGATATTCAAATATAATGCAGAGTTACGCCCCCTTGTACTTCATGTGACGTAACAAGGAGAAAAGATGGCTTCCAGCAATGAAACATTTGCCTCCAGCAAATCACAGATATGGGAAAATTTTGGTTTACAAACGCCAGATGGAAAAAATGTGGCTAATAAAGTGATGTGTCGCCATTAAATATCATGTACTTGTTTTTATTTTTTAAGTAAATTTGGAAAGAAAATATACTGTGATACGTATCGCATCGTGAGGTTCATACCATGATACTTAATATATAGTGAGGTTAGCGTATCGTTGCAGAACTAAAAGAAAACACATATAGTGCAAAGTTCTACTAACAGTGTTTACAGAAGAGCAACTTCTGATTTTTTATCTCTTCCCACTAATAATATTTACATTACGGTGGATCTTTCTTATGTAAACTCAGTGACATTTATTAGTTGAAACAGCAGTTCATCAGTCAATAACTTTAATTGACAATATGAACAACTAAAATTGGTGCATATGTAAGCATCATTCTGATGTGATGGTGACCATGTATCTTATTTGCGACACTGACCGAATGCATTTATGACATAATCAAATATATTTTACGGGAATATAAATGGTTAGTAAAATAACCAAATGAAATAAATAAAGTATTGTATGTGTACTGTGCAGATTATTCTGTCTAGCACATAGGTAACATACCTACATATTATCACTACACATACTGGGAAAATTAAAAAAAAAAAAACCAGTTGTCTAAAGAGAGAGTTGGGGTAGTTAAAAGACACTACATTGTAGAGCTACATTAAGAAAATACTGAACCATATTAAATGGGAAACCAGATTGATACATAATCGATTCAAAGTCTGACATGTAAGGAACTGAGCCAAACCTGGTGTTGAGTCAAACCGCTTAACCTAATCTAAGTCACGTAATAAATAATCACAGGTAGTTTCACTTGGAACATTTTAAAAACAATAAAGCTGCGTCATAAATTGGTAGCCAAATCAATTTGACCCACATAGCACTTAATTTTTAAATTCAAACCTTTTCCAGATCTCTGAAAATCAATGTGTAGCTTGGGTGTGGTGTTAAGATGGTATACACGTAAAGGCGTGTTGTGCCACTTCCCCCAAAAGAATTGAAATTAGCAAAATCCTCTTTAAAAAAATCCTCTTGATAAAAAGTCGATACCATTGTTGGCACTTTGACTACAAAAAGCACTGAATACAAACCCGTTTAAATATAATAAATTCTCTTCAGTGACTAAAAACAGGTTTACACACAATTATAGACTACAATTTGTATTCTCAGTGTAATAAAACATCTGACACACCTCAGTTGGGCACACCTCACATGTATACTTTCACTAGATATAAAAATCTACACTAATAGTTCAAACTGGTTTTGAAAAATAATTTAGCATTCAGTAGAATATATGAATAATAAACTATAACACATACTTTTGGAAGAACAATTATTTAGAATATATGAGATTGAGTTGAATGAGTTTTTTTTTATACAGGTGGCTATAAATTTGTTATTCTAACGCGCTTAACATGCCTCTGTAGGTAAACAATAGTTCAATAAATGGGTGGGAAGGGATTTAACTTATTTTCTTACACAAGTATATCAATACTTAATACCAATTCACAATTGTCTTATTTAGGCTTAAATCAACATTTATATTTATACATTATTTCAAGGTAGAGATATTGCTTTCATTAGTTACTGTAAATACTGGTGGGACTGGGATGGGATTGAGCTTATTTTGTTACAATAAAAACAACATATAGTTATCTGCACAAAATAGGCTTATGTAAGTCAATGATATACATTTTTATGGTAGAGATTGTTGGTCATGTTATAGACTCTACTGACTAAGTTTAGTAAAAATTGTTTATCAATAACGGTCCACAAACAACAGTCTAACAATAAGTGTATAATAACATTGCATAACAGCTGGAGTATTACGGGGGTATTATTATGTACTTTGTTCATGTTTGAATATTTTTTACATTGTAAATCAATCTATAAAATACAACAATGTATAAACATTTGAACAAAACCATTGGCCTCTTTAGACCGCGTTGAGAGTCTACTATGAAGTCCAATAATCAGAAACGGTGAATGAATGTCATTATGAACTCGGCCAGCGCCCAGTGCATCTGTAGCAGCCGAATAATTTATATTTCTAAAATAGACATACCGATAAACAATGAAAAAATATGTATCAATATTAACAGAAAACAGTACAAAAACACTTACATAATAGCAGTTTAAGGCGTTAATTCTGAGGCGATAATGTTTTTCTCCAAAAACAAACTTCCAACGAAATCAACAAGAACTGATGGCAGCGACCTCTGGATTGCGAGCTAATCTGCGAATATTAATGGACCGAAGCGAAGAAAACTGAAATAATAACAATGCTTCTTTTCAAACTGACAATTTACTTTCTTGCATCTAACAGTAGTTTTTATTTTATGGAATAGTCATGACAATTTGCATTAATATTTCTTGTGCGATTGGATAAAGAGGCCACCTGAAAGTGAAATGGCACACTTGTTTGATTAGGCTATTGATATTTAACTATCCAAGAACAATAACTCTGCAAAACCAGACAACGCCCATAACGCTTTGACAAAGCTTTTAATCACTGTTTATGAGGAATATCTTTGATGCCGAAACACAGAAGTTTGCACATAGTTTCTTTTGGGTGTATTTGATACATTAAAACATCTAAAGTTGTATAAAGGGCTATACTTTAAATTAGTTAAAATAAGGTGAACAAGTTTGAGTAAATTCTCAGCTTAAGTGATAAGTCTGAGAATGCTTTGTGAACTCCATGTTCCGTCGAATCCGAGCGACTTTAATTATTATATAGTATAAACATTATACTTTCCGAAAAATTTCTTTCGCCTTATAATATAAATTTGAAATGCGACCTATCACTTTAGACTAGTGACACCCTTGAAATCCTTTGGCAATTACAAGAATATCTGTCCCTGCAGATCCAACCTCAATATTTCAAAAAGAGATTAGGCCTAGGCTGTAAAAAATGATTTTAAAGGGTCTAGCCCTGTCTTCTTATAAACTCGCCGATAGATCGATGTGTATCCCACGACTTTTTGGTCGGGAGCCATAGTCTGCTATTTACGAAAGTCTGAGGGCATCGATCATTATTTTGTTTCATCAAATTTTCGGGTAGATTTTTCTGACAGACGTGTCACGTGAAACAGAGTTGACTTGAATAAAACATTTTAAACCAGTATAATAAACAGTGCCTAGCGCCACTCAGGGATAGGTAGACACATTTTTTTTCAGACATCATTACGACATTATTTGGTTCATCAGTATGTCGAAGTCTGGTAAATGCAACCGCAACAGGAATGAACTTTTTAGGGGGGAGGGGGGTCTCACCCTCCGGACGAAGAGGGGTAGTGAAAGTTTGAAAATTTGCGATGCCAATATTTTTTCCTACTGACTAAAAGGTCTTTATTAGTTCATATTGTTTATAATAGCCTAGTAGTATTAATTATTTCAGCCACCCCTAATTCTAGCATTGTAGGCAGTATACCAAGATTTTACAGAAATATTCATTTATACAATTATAATTAAGGTATGTACCTTTGATTTAAGAATATTGTAAAAACATTTCCATAGCAAAATATGCTTTCAATCACGTCCGCTTTATTAAGTCTCTTGGACAATCGTTATGACGTCATGTTACTGTTTATTTTTTATTTTGAGCGGAAAACAACAGAGTGGAGGTAAGATTAATATTAATAAGAATTTATATACTGTGTGAATTAACAAAAATATACCCGTAAAGTAATTGAAATGTAAAGATCTCTTTTTCGTTTTTTAAAACAATTATTTTGTGTTTGATTTGCTGTTTCTTTTTTGTTCATCTGGTTCGTTTTGTTCACTTTTTTGTTTTTGTTTGGTGAACACTGATTGAATATGCGTAATGTGGGGAAATCTAGGCTTCGATATCTTTTAGCGTCGACGTACGAAGTGGGATTTACATGAATCTTCTACTTTGGTCCTTTCGAATTCCAATTGTTAGGGGATCTTTTACACGCGGGACCTCGGTTTTCCATCCCACCCGATCGACTGTACCCTTGCTAGGCCTTCGGTCCTGCACCACTGACAAGGTGGAACCACACCGGAATATCCAGATGAACTTTCTCGGTCAACGCGGGGATCGATCATAGCACATTTAGCTGTTCATATATGAATTTAACTACCCCGAAAACCTACTGTATGACGTATTATACCATCTTATTACTAACATCAAAATGTACAAAAGCCCAGAAGGCTCGTTCCAAATTCCAAATTCCAAATTCCAGATTCCAAATTCCAGATTCCAAATTCCAAATTCCAAATTTGCAGCTGTAGCAAAAAAAAAAAAAAAAAAAAAAAAAAATGCCAGTCCTAGGATTACGAGTAGCAGAGTAGCTCACTGCAGAGGAACTTTGCCCCAAACTGTTCACATCTGCCGAAGCAAACCCAACTGGAATATTGTTATTATACTCTAACTGATTAGTCAAAAGCAAAAACCTGATCCGATTGGTCGGATCAGATTTGGAATTTGGAATTTCGCATTTGGAATTTGGAATCTGGAATCTGGAATTTGGAATTTGGAATCTGGAATTTGGAATTTGGAATCTGGAATTTGGAATTTGGAATCCGGGCCAGATAGGTATTTATCCGGCCCAGATAGGTAAACTAGAAGTAATTAGTTGTGTAAAATTACAATTTTTATAAATTCTAATTTGTTTAAAGGGACGATAACACTCTTGCTGGCTTGACAGTACAGAAAATAAACAATAGCCTTATTCTAAGTATTAGATGTTTATGTGTCCTACCTGTTGTGTAAATTATCCATTACATCCTATTTTACTTGTCCAGAGGGTTCGAAAATATTTTTAAATCCAAGTCACATTTGAAAAGGTTTACGTTAGGCTTTTCAAATCATTTAGTTGAATTTTTCCCAATTTTTTAAATTAGGTGTGTTAAGATGAAATTTGTATCATCAATTAATTGAAATATTGTAAAATAGTGCAATTTGTTGACTAGAATAAAGATTGGGACATATTATTCAGTTACAACAGGAGTGGTATTGGGCCTTTAATTGAGGGGGGTTGCCAATTTGCTATTTTATCGGTAAGACATGAATTTGGAATTTGGAATTTCACATTTGGAATTTGGAATTTCACATTTGGAATTTGGAATTTCACATTTGGAATTTGGAATTTCGCATTTGGAATTTGGAATAAGCCTTCTGGGCTTTCGTAAAAATGTCCCGCCAATGTCGCCGAATGTTAAGTGTCAAATGACAAATGTTTTGTGGGGAAATGCTTTTTTGTCTACATTTTACTTTTATCTCATTGCATTTGTGGACTGCCACATCCCATTGTCCTTCACGCTGTCTACATAGCATCTTTCGCACACCATCAACTTTATTATGCAAATATAGGATACCACGTGACTTATTAAAATATACGGAAACCTGGCACACTATAAGCCAGAACAAGGATATTCACAACACTATAACAGGAAATCAGCTTAGCACACAATAAGAAATTTACTTACCTTGACACTTTGGATTGTACTTTAACATGATTACGGGCGGGGGACTATGATACGAAATTCCAGGTATCATGTTACATATCAGTGAAAAGCACGTTCATTTCTTCTTGTAAATATGTAAATAGTTTTCTTGTACAATCGTATTTTAATAATTCAAATCCAATAAATATCACGATGCCATCGAGAGCTGATTATGGTCTGGTGGATTAGTTAATTTGCCTAATTACTAATTTAGATAATATTTAAGGCCTAAAGAAAGACCTGCAATAGACAGATTTAGCTCTTGCATAATGCATGTTTAAGTGACTGTGTGTGCGTGTGTGTGTGTGTGTGTGTGTGGGTGTGGAGGGGGGGGGGGGTATTCAATGATAAAATACGAGTAAAACAAAATCAAATATGTAAATAATTTTCTGGCACATTCATACTCCCTGAAAAACGACCAAAGTTGGATGGAACTAAAATCTATTGCCATGATTGCGGAGGTGGGGGGGGGGGGTATTCAATGTTAAAATACGAGTCTTAAATCCGAAATTCTCGATACCATGCTACCCACTAAAAGCACGTCCATTGCTGCTTAAAGATATATAAATAATTTACTGGCACATTCAGATTAGCATACCTTGAAAAACATCGAGTGGTACGAAACACTATTAAATTGGCATTCACTTAAAAATAATGGTCTAAACAAGAAATTCCAGATACCATGTTACGTATCACTGATTGCTCTTTTCAAATATGCAAATAATTTTTTGGCACATTCATATTTGCATAACTTTACAAAATAAGATTAAAGTTGAAGTGAAGGAAGGATGGTGGTGTGTGTGTGTGTGTGGGGGGGGGGGGGGGGGTAACTAAACTAAACTAAAGATACGGGGCTTAATCAAAAATTCTCTGTCTATACTAAAAAATGTATAGTCATTCCTCTCTTTAAATATATTATTTTTTTGCTGGGCACAATGCTTATATATTGTTGTTTTTTTTTTAATGGAACAAAGTTAATTAGGCTGTACTCAACTTTGTTTATAGAAAGACCGTCAAAATACGGGTATTAATACGAAATTCCAGTTATTGTGTTATAAATTACTGGAAAGTGTGTTTCTTTGGCTCTTTGAATCTATCAATTATTTCCTGGCACATTCAGGATTGCGCACGGTCGTCTAGTTAGTTTCTTATAGTGTGCCAGCTTGAGTTACTGTTATCGCACGGTGAATATCCTTGTGGTGTACTGGTTTACAGTGTGCCAGGTTTCCGTATATGTAAATAAGTCACGTGATATCCTACATTTGCATTTGAAAGTTGATGCTGCGCGAAAGATGCTATTTAGAAAGCGCAAAGGACAAATGGGATGTGTCAGAGCGCAAATGCAAAATGTAAAATAAAAGCATTTTCTAACAGAATATTTGTCATTTGACACTTCACATTTGACGTTTTACATTTAACTCTTGCCGTATATGTATTTTGACCTCATCATTATCGGTATTAGGACGTTGTCGCAGAGCATTTAATATTGACAGCGATACCCTTCCATATAAAAATCCTAGGCCAAAGATGTCTTCTCTATACGAAACAAGGGCCAAAGTCATTTTTAGTCTCTCTCTCCCTTTCCCTTTTTCCCCCTTTTGCATGGCGATTTTTGTTGAATTTTTTGTGTAGAATCGAAAAAAGGGTTTGAAAATACATTTTCTGCCAGGTTTTGGTGAATATTCATGATTTTGAGGCGGAAGGATACAAGAGTTGCGAGGTTGGTTACGTTGAAATGTAGGGCCGGAAATTGCATGTTTACTTGTCTCTACTTCCAGCTTGTACGTGTATCTCAAGTTTTTCATGGTGAACCTCATACATGCTTTTGGGCAAGAGTTTGCCACATGTTGCTCCATCTGTGGCAGAAAGCGTTCTACCCAACGAAAATTTGGGAAAAAGTTAGAGCCGGTCTAAGAGACGAGAATTAACATTAAAGTCAATGGGGAAATAATTAGTGATCTTGGACGAATTCAACACTGATTCTTGAGAAAATCACAATGGAGTTAGCGCCCTTTAACTATAGCAGGCTTATCGACTCTTACGCGACTTATTAAGTTTCTATACAATAAACACCCTATTTATTAAAAAGTGATGAAGTATTCCTATAAACCTACTGACTAAAAGTTCTTCATATTGTTTATAATAGCCTAGTATTAATTATTTCACCTATTGTAAGCATAGACGTACGGGGAAATTTTTGACTGGGGGGCGGTGGTGGTTGGTGCCCAAAAAATGTAGTTAGGTTCTTAGTATGTTTCATAATGATAATAAATTCGCTGTTAAATTGGACACATTCAAGAACACAATATTTTTTTATACAACTTTTACAAAGTACATTTGTGTGCCCAAATTTTCCCAGCATTTGGTGCCCAAATTGGGGGGGGGGGCGGGCGCCCCCCAGCCCCCCCAGCCCGTACGCCTATGATTGTAAGCAGTATACCGAGATTTTAAAAACATATTAATTTATACAAGTAGGTGTGGTCCGTTGATTTAAGAATATAGTAAAAACATTTCCAATTTCTCTTTATATTTCGCAAAGTTACCATAGCAAAATGTGCTTTCAATCACGTCCTCTTTATTAAGGCTCTTAAACAATCGTTATGACGTCATTTAACTGTAGTTATGAGCGGAAAACAACAGAGCGGAGGTACGATTAATATATTTAATACGAATTTATATACTGTTTGAATTAACAAAAATATAACCGTAAGTAATTGGAGTGCAAAGATGTTTTCTTCTTTTTTGTTCATCTGGTTCGTTTTGTTTACTTTTTTGTTTTTGTTTAGTGAACAATGATTGAATATGCGTAATCTGAGGAAATCTATGCTGGTATATGTTGTAGCGTCGACGTACGAAGTGGGATTTATGTGAATCTTCTAATTCGGTTCTCTCGAATTCCCATTGTTAAAGGATATTTTACGTGCACACCAATGTATACGCGGGACTTCGCTTTTTGATCCTATCCGAACGACTGTAGCCTTGCCAGGTCCTCGGTCCTGCACCACTGACAAGGAAAATCCAGATGAACTTTCTCTGCCAACGCGGGATCGGACCCGGGACCTCCAGGTTAGCGAACCAACGTCTATTGATTCTATGTCGATTTGGAGAACCATATTAGTATTTCGTTCAATCATAGCACATTTAGCTGTTCAGATATGAATTCAGCTACCCCGAAAACTTACCGTTTGACGTATTATACCACCTCTTTACTAACATCGAAATGTCCTGCCAATGTCGCCACCACTTTGAATATAGCCGTCATATTAGAATGCCTTTTTATGGTTACATCTCAAGTAAGTTACCCAGAAAACCTATATTGCAATATATTACCTATATAGGGGACTTTGTGATTTCCCGGCCAAATGAGCCCCCATTTTGAATCTCCCCCCCCCCCGCCCGTCACTGTTGGAAGGGATACCAAAGCTCATTTCTTTGTCTCTCGGGTGACTAAGGATTGGAGTTTCTAAAATGAGGGTTTTTTCCCCCCACTATCTCGGGATTAGCCCTAGGGATTCTTATAACTAGTTGATTTTATTTACTAAGGGTTAGGGTGAGGACTTTGTTATTTAGTCTAATTTACTGTGCACTAGGATGTCGTTCAGATTTTTATTTTTAGAATATGCAATTATAAGTTTTTGTGTGAAGATTTTCGGGTGATTTTCTTGGAGACCAGTTAGTGTTTTCTGATGATTTCGGATGCACTTGCTGTCGTTGCGCTATATGGAACTACAAAAGGGGCTATATTCAAACCTAGGGGAGACTGTTGTTTTCAATTTGTCAATCCAGAATTACTATCTTGTTAGCCTAAACGTTTTAATTTCTTCTGTAGTTTCGAAGTCGCTCTTTGTCTTTTCTATTGGTGTGACAATGAGATAAGAAATGCCATGATTGGTTGGTTGAAGTGAATTGATACCGTTTTTTCATTTTTAGTCGGACCGGTGACCGTTAATTCTTTTCCTAAGTGCTTTTTGAATCTCCCCTACGTATTGTTTGTCACATTGTCTACTGTATATTGGTGGTTTCTGATGATTCTGGATGCACTTGCTGCTGTTGCGCTAAATGGAACTACAAAAGGGGCTATTGCCGTATGAATATTCAAACCAAAGAGGGGGGGGGGGCTGTCGTTTTCTATTTGTCAATTTATATTGAACTACTTCCAAGTTGCTGTAATCACGAATTTTGAACATGGCAGGAAAACGCGCCACCTTGGTGTCCGTCAATGTTTTGGCAGTCGTTGGCTCTCGGCTTCGCCGGCCACAATGGGAAGCTGTTCGAAACCGTACGCCTATGCTTCCCGTGTTGAAGAATGAAGCTGAAAAACTGATTTATCAAGGTAGTCGATATAAATTTTGCGCCCCAGTCCCCAGTACATATTCCTGAAGCAATGGCCCGAGAAATCTGTCTCTGGCCATCGCTGGATTGACTTCTGATATTTAAGCTTTTGATGGAGAGTGTCCATTCTTCCCGTTCAATTAAATCTATCCCAGGTACAGCAACATGACAGCCCTTCGTTTAATCTGGGGTCTTCCCTAAAACTTTGGACAGTGATTTAAGGTATTAAAAACGGTGAAGGTATTGTTCGTCTATAAACAGTATTGTTTACACTGTAGCCGTTCGGTAGCCTCGTTTGTCACGCAATTCGTTTTTCTGCAATATTCTGCTTGGCACTGGTTAATTGGACGTAATGTTATGTAAACATATTTGGTTCAATTTGGAGCTCTGTTTAAAGCCGAACGCAGTTAGGTATTGGTTGTTAATCGGACTATTGACCAGTCATGATTTGGAACAGAAATTTGCTTCCATTACATTAGTGTGAAGCGGGATTAGGTCTAAAGAAACGAAACACTGCGAGGACTATGTCCCCAGTAGTGCGAAACCGATCTCTGCTTCAGCACTCCGCAAGCTATTGAGTTGATTGCGTGTGTTAAGATATGTAATAAATATGGTCATGCAATACGAATCTAATAAAACTGTTAGATCAGAGTTTATGGTATCAAAGATTTCTTCTCTATTTCCTGTGTGGCAAACATTTGCGATGCCAAAATAATTTCCAGGGCAGAGTGCATGTCAACACCGGTGCCTATAATAGGCTTATCGACTCTTACGCGACTTATTAAGTTGTAGTCCTTTTTTTCCTATAAAATAAACACCCTTCTTATTAAAAAGTGATGAAGTATAAGCCTACTGACTTAAAGTTCTTCATATTGTTTATAATATCCTAGTATTAATTATTTCACCCAACCCTAACTCTAGCATTGTAAGCAGTGCCAAGATTTTAAAGAAATATTCATTTATACAAGTAGGTGTGTACCTTTGATTTAAGAATATAGTAAAAACATTTCCAATTTCTCTTTATATTTCGCAAAGTTACCATAGTAAAATGTGCTTTCAATCACGTCCGCTTTATTAAGTCTCTTGGACAATCGTTATGACGTCATTTAACTGTTTATTTTTCATTTTGTGCGGAAAACAACAGAGCGGAGGTAATTTCATACGAATTTATATACTGTGTGAATTAACAAAAATATACCCGTAAAGTAATTGAAGTGTAAAGATCTATTTTTTTCGTTTTTTAAAACAATTTTAGTTTTGTGTTTGAAAAACAATTTTAGTTGTATGAATATTTGTTGTTTCTTGGATGTCTTTCTTTTTTGTTCATCTGGTTCGTTTGTTTATGGGGGTTGGATGGCCGAATGGCTAGCACGTGTGCGCTCTGCGCTGTATCATAAAGCCTGTCATTGAGTCAACTAGCGTGACAAGGAGTAGGGTCGCCTAGGTCCAACCTCGTGGGTTTCCTCTGGGTCCTCCGGTTTCCTCTCACTGCTTAAGACCCTTATTGAAATAAAAAAAATAAACCATATGTTAGTCCCGAAATAACCTAGTTTGTGTCTAGTGGACGTTAAACCCCATCTCTCTCTCTCTCTCTCTCTCTCTCGTTTTGTTTACTTTTTTGTTTTTGTTTGGTGAACACTGATTGAATATGCGTAACCTGGGGAAATCTGGGTTGCTGTAGCGTCTACGTCTAGAATAAAGGTTAAATCTGTATTTTACTCGACGCTGAAATGAGTGAATGATTGATTAATCCAGCATTATTTTTTTTTATTTTCTCCGTTTTGCATATTAAGTTTTGTTGATATGATCTAAAATAGAAGAGGGTTATAAGTAACATTTTCTGCCATGACTTGGTAACTATTGATCATTTAGGTAAGGAAGGATATGGTAGATATTCATGATTTAGCGACGGAAGGATAACAGTGTTATGAGATTGGTTACCCTGAATGGCCTGATATGTTCGAATATTCGATGGATAGTTACATGTTTACTAGACTGTTACTTTCAACATGTGTGTCTCCAAATTTCCATAATCAGCTTCATTAAAGCTTTTGGGCAAGACATTGTCTGCGGTAGAGAGCGCCCGAGCAGGGAAAAGTGGCAAGCGTTAACATTAAAGTCGATAGAAAAACTTTAGTGGTCTGCATCCAAACGCGTCAAAGGAGTTAGTTCCCTTTACATTGGGTCATGGTCATAAAATAAATTTTCAGCTGATTTCGTCCGCTCACAACAGCTTGCTTGTGTGTACATAGGACTGGTGTGCATAATGTCGGTGCATAGAATTAGTACAGTTCTATGGTCGGTGACATCAGCTAAAAGTACAAAAAGTAAACAAACCTATAAATGACACATAAATGTAGATGTTTTAAATTCGACTAAAATAAAGACAGAGCCAGAGGTCAGTTTTTCCAACTGAAACTGGTTGTGACAGCAAACTGAGCCAGGTCAACAAGATCTACAAGCAAATTGTAATTTAGAAAAATGGGTGATTTTAACATTTCTAAAGCTCTGGAGCTAAACAAGGCACAGACTATTGGGAAGACAATTATCTATAAAAAGAGCACTGGAACAACCATGGATGATGCTAAAGAATGTGGCTTTAATGGTATGAATTAATCAATTATCAAATTTGCCATTAAAGTATAGGCGAACTGTTTTGCCATTTCCAGACTGGTACTTATAAAGATGCATTATTTAATTTAGCTTGAGCTAAATCTGCCTATGGATGGTCTTTATTAAAGCCTTAAAGTTCAAATATAAACTATAGGCCTACACCGGTAATTTAGACAATTATTCACATGACAAGACTGTACGTAATTAATTCGCTAGGACTAGAGTAGAACATGGGATGGCTGAGATTTAAATGGATCAAAACACCTAGGAGATTCAGAAATTGAACGATAAAATAAACAATCAAGACTTAATTTAAAGGGGCACTATGGAAGATTAGATAAAGAGCTGGCAAATCTCACTACGTACGGTATAATAGTTAAAAACTGTATACCAGTAATGTAAAGGGAATATACTGAAAATTTCAGTCAAACCGAGATATTAGTGATTGAATTTTAGGCCTTGCCTTGATCATCATTACTAAGGTCTATACGGTAAAAAAAACATAATTCTTGATTATCAATTTTTGCATTTAATCATCAATGAGCCAACATTGAGTAGCAGATCGGATTCAAATCCAGTGAAAATCGAACAAAAAAGATGGCATTGAGAGTTGATTATGGTCTTTTTATGTTAATAAATGTCTAATTAATAGTTTATATAACATTTCAGGTCCAAAAAAAGACCTGCAACAGGCAGATTTAGCTCTTGCATCGATTGTCAACTACCATTGCTGCGATAGCAATCTACACTAGGCCTGCATCTTCAATCAGCCATAACCTCGCTCAGAATAAAGTAATTTGAATGAAATTTTCAATATATTAATTTTTCATTTGCTATACCGTAGCAAGAACAATCTGCTCTTTATCTAAATCTTACATAATGCATCTTTAAATGAAATGAGGTTTAACATCCTACTGTTGTGCTCCAAACTGGGCTAATGAAGAAGGGGCATCTTAAAAAAAGGGTGTAATGGTAATCACGGTAACCTGGGTATTGTTTAATCTTCAGTTTTCTGTGTAAAACATGTCACTACCACCTTCGGAATATTGGCTCAATACGTCATTTTATAACATCAGATGCTGCAGCTACCCTCGTCCGATGTCTTATCCTCTCTCGCCTCGACTATTGCAACAGTGTGTTATCTGGGATTACCAATGAGCAAACAAAACGCCTCCAACGTATACAAAACTCAGCAGCCAGACTAGTCTCAAGAACCAAAGTCCGTGACCACATATCTCCAGTTTTATCCTCTCTTCATTGGCTTCGTATTAATGAACGTATAGAATTCAAATTGTTGTGCCTAACTTATCAAGCTGTTTATAAGACTGCACCTGTTTATCTTCAAGAACTTGTTAACGAACATTTACCAGTCAAAAACCTTCGATCTAGTAACACTTGTCAACTACAATTACCAACATACAATTTAAAAACTTTTGGAGCAAGAACATTTTCATATCAAGCTGCTTTCCATTGGAATAAACTCCCAACTTCCTTAAAACAGTGTCCGTCCCTAGCAAGTTTTAAATCATCACTGAAGACACATCTGTTCCGTCGCTATATGTAATGAGATGACACAGTATATTGTTCAGACTTTGCAGAATTGACTTGAGCGCTATGAGCATACTACACAGTGTGGAATAGCGCTATATAAATGTTATTATTATTATTATTATTATTATTTACCCCTAATTTCTTTCACATTCGTTTTGTAAATTTTCAAACAAAGATTTGTTTTGAATGAATGTGAAAGAAATTAGGCCTAAATATTTTCTGTTTAGACTAAATATAGATAAACAGTTTGATTGCTCGATGCTTTATAAAAAGTGAAATGTCCAATTAATTAATATGTGTCATCTATCTATTTTGAGATTTTTGTTTTAAAATGCATTATATTCACACAACAGGATCACCACATGGTACAGCAGTTATAGCTGAGTTACAGACTAAAGCTAGAGGTGCTAAAAATAATAAATGGAGTGCATTACATACGGACAATATCTATGTGTCATTTGTTCTACATAATGTTAAGCTTGAACAGGTGAATATAATATAATTAAGTCTTACCTGTATAAGTATGCTCAGTCCAAGGTTATGCTGGGGAAAGAAACACAAATTGAAAGAATGCACGAGGCTATCAGGCAAAAGGACTTGCTTTGCACAGGATGATGGCTTTCTCAAATAAGTGTGTACATTAATTGCAAAGAATAAACGTCTAACCATGCATTACATGCAGAAAGTACAGTTGAATCTCAAGATCAAATTAGAATTGACTTAAAGTAGCTAAGTCTCTAACTCAATATCATCCAAAATCTTCAACATTGAAAACACAAATTATTTGTCAATTTAAATCAACATTGATGCTGTGATCTTACCGGAAAAAGATGGGTCTCTGATATCCAATATTTAAGACAAAATAAACATTTTATCCTTGGTACACAAATCGTGTACCATAATGCGTTTCAGCCCCAGTTCTAGCAAGAGACTCGAGGAACGAGGCTAGACATATTGCACCAAACCAAACAGGGTATGTAGACTGGAATAACCAGGCGCTAGAAATTTGCATTCGATTGAGACTGCTGGCTTATTTCGCGGAACATAACTGATTTGAAATTAGAGTAAAACGGAAACCATTGAATGTATATCAGTTTATATACATTCATATTACAGTATTATATGAGTTGCAACCCACTTGTGTCAATTTCTAGGTCCCAAATGTTAGCGATTTAGCTCCTTTAAATATTAGAGAAAATTGCTGTCTAATCGAGACTTTGTTATCGTAACAATGGTGTCAGTGACAATCGATACTCCGCCATTCTTCAAACAACCATAACTTCACTCAGAATGAAGTAATTTGCCTGAAACTTTCAATATATTTTCTTTTCATTATCTATTTTGGAACTACATGTACTACATGTATAGCAAGAACTGTCAGCTATTTTTGATTTTATCAAAGTCTTACATAATGAAATTTAACAGTAAATAACTGAATAATGTATAATACAATGCTTGACATGTGTTTGTGTGTGTGTTTATTAACACAGTAGTTTTTGTTACAGGGTTGGGTTATGCGTTTTAAATGTGAAGTAGCTGCTTCATTAGCTGTTTTACGTGCTGTCAATGATCTAGGTATAAAGGATGTAAACACTAAATGGCCAAATGATCTGTGGATAAAAGGTCACAAACTTGCAGGATTTTTGATGGAAGAGGTGGATTTTGACATTCCTGGTGAGAACTTGTTACTTAGACTATCCTCCAACTCTCAGATTGATTACTTAAACATACATTATTCAAGAGCTAAATCAGCCTATTGCAGGTCTTTCTTTAGGCCTTAAATGTTATATAAATTATTAATTAGACAAGACAAGACCATAATCAACTCTCGTTGCCATCTGATGCGTATGATTTTAAACAGACTTGAATCTGATGTGCGATTCAATGGCTGTTCATGATAAACCATAAAAACAGCTATTAGAGACTTTGTTTATATCGTAACAATGGTAACAATGACAATCGAGGCTACAGTACTTTTGAATTTCAGTTTTTGGCATATTCTCTTAACATTATCAATTTTTTAATTATTATAAAAAGAACTGTCAACTTTTATCTAATCTTCCATAATGCCCATTTAAAGAACGAAGTTATGAATGTTGGAAGATGTGGCATAGAATGTTTATTATTGTAGCAATGGTAATGGACAAACGAGACTCCATTTAATCCATTTAAATCTCTGCCATCAGATGGTAAAAAGATAGATTATGGTCTTGTCATGGTAATAAATGTCTAAATGATATTTATATAACATTTGAAGCCAAAAATAAGGCCCTGCTATAGGCAGATTTAGCTCTCACATAATGCACCTTTAATGCTGTACATTCAAGCCAGTGATATAAGATACTGTCTCCTTAGTAATAGTCCCCCTACCCCCTGTTCTAAAGGAACATGTACCGTCCTAACTGTGGTATGAAAGATCTAGATATTAAATAAATACTAAATGAATATAAAATGAAACAAAATTTTAATAATGTAAGCAAGTCTACTTGTTATCATTGAATGATACTTTATTGAACTGAAGGAACTCCTGTTCTGATTTATTCATAACTTCAGAAATTTTTTCGAAATATTATCTATTCTGTTCTTGTTATAGTTCTTGCCTGTCCAACCTCGTGGGTTTTCTCTGGGTCCTCCGGTTTCCTCCCACTGCTATAGACCCCTACGCGCAAGCAAATTATTGAAATAAAATTAAACCATATGTTAGTCCCGAAATGACCTAGTTTGTGTCGAGTGGACGTTAAACCCCATTTCTCTCTCTCTCTCTGTTACAGTTCTTTGATAAACTGCCTGTATGTACAAACTGAAATGATAGACAATGAACTATGAACTTAATTGGATATTTTCTTTGTTATTCTGTATCAATCTGTTTCACAGAGGTATTGTGTAGCCTAATATCTCTGTAAAAGATGACTGCTTTATCATGTGACGTCACATCATGCGGCGTCAATCATTGACTTAATGGCACGTGTATTGTTTACATAAGACACCAATAGTCCGGCAGAATGGTGCCATTTACTCAATTTACATACCCATTTACACTAAATAGGAAATATTTTTTACCTACATATACTTCAAACACCTTTATTTATTTTTCTAATGCTTAAAAAAAATGTTCTAGAATTTAATTTGCAGACAGAAAAAAGTTAATATTTGGGACTCGTTAAGTTGCATCGATGTCATCCCTCTCATAGACTGTGGGGAATTAGCGAATATTCAGTCCTGATCAGTGTGATTCTGTTTAAAGGCTCAATACCACTCTTGTTGTAACTGAATAATATGTCCCAATCTTTATTCTGGTCAACAAATTGTACTATTTTACAATATTCCAATTAATTGATGATACAAATTTCATCTTAACACACCTATTTTAAAAAATTGGAAAAATTCAACTAAATGATTTGAAAAGCCTGACGTAAAGCTATTGAAATGTGACTTGTTTTTAAAAATATTTTTGAACCCTCTGGACAAGTAAAATAGGATTTAATGGATAATTTACACAGCAGGTAGGACACTAACACATCTAGTACTTAGAATAAGGCTATTTTTTATTTTCTGGAGCTGACAAGCCAGCAAGAGTGTTATTGTCCCTTTAACATCAATACTTATTAGTAGATTACCCCTCACCACTGCTAAACAAGAATCAGGACAGCAGCATGAGTAATAATAACCTGATTTCTTACTTTTCACTGAAACATTCTTTAAATCACCTATTGTTAAAACATATAGGCCTACCTATAATTCAATTATTTTATTTACAGATGCATATCCTATAAAACATTTAGCCATATTAGGAATTGGTGTGAATGTTAATTCAGATGTCCGTAGAAACCCAGAATTATACAGCTTGGCTACAAGTATTAAATGTGAACTTGGTGGATATGAAGTTTGTCGAGAAGAACTGTTTGCTAATATGTGTTTGTATCTAGAGGAAAATCTGGCCAAGTCACGAAGACAACTTCATAAAGAATTTATACAACATCAATTGTTTAAGCCAGGAACAGATGTTGTTGTTCTTTCCCTAGCTGATAATGAATCATATCCTGCTCAAATCTTGAAAATTAAAGATAACTGGAATCTTGTTTTTCAAAGTAAGTAAATAAGGATGTAAATATATATATGTCAAAATATGAAATAATTGTTCTTATATTTATTTTTTAGTAGGATGGAACGTCTAACCAAATACTTCAGACTAACTTATGGTAATTTTTATACACTCACATTTCAGTGTTGGTGTATTATGTATTCACCCTGTATGGAGGTAGTGATGTCAACAATTGGCTTGTGAACGCAATAGAGGCTGTAGTCTTTAATGGATGGGAAGCATTTGTGTCATGAGAGCATGAACCCTATCGATTTTCAGTTATCCTCTCAATGGCGAAATCCTTGAACACAACAGAGGCTACAGTTTTTAACACATTTTTAATACACCCACATTTTCATTCACATTTGTTTGTGGACAAAGATTTTGGTTCCTTTCAATAATGGCACTAGATGGACCATTTTACTTTAAGAAACAGGTCAACAGTAGACATTTATCTACTAGATATTGTAATTAATGTATACGTTTTCAAAAAGAATGATTAGACTGAATATTTATATGGTAACTATTAGTAACAGTGAACCTAGTATCCTTCAGGACATAAAACAGACTTACATACATATTTAAGTTAAAAGATATTGACCAATGTTTGTATCTGTTTTCTTTTCAGCAAAAGATGGTATAAAAGAAGTAGATTCTAGTAAACATAGTGTACGTCCTAGAATCAGTAAAATAGTTTATATTGTAACCAGTTGCAATCTAGATGTTGATAGTAGTCAAGAATTATATAGAATACTTCTTACATTAGTTGATACCAGTAAATATAATATTAAATATCTTAAACTAGAAGATTTAGAAAAGGGTAAGTGGAACTTGTAAAATCTTGCTCAGAAATCCATCATCAATAATCAACACACACTGGTTTCCTCACACAATTCTGTTCATTATTGATATGACTTTTGTGTCCCACTATACAATCATTAACATGTGTAATCACTTTAAGTCTTTTACCTATTTAAAATCATCAGAGTTTCCATTTAACATAACATACTTCCTCATCCATCTATGATCATCAAGGGGGCTGGGTGGCCAAATGGGTTAACAAGGTCTGTCATTGAGTCATGTTAAGTCTCTTACCTATTTATAATCATCAGAGCTTACAATCTTACCATCTATATTTAACATACCGTAATGCTTCATCCATCTATGATCATCAGTGGGCTGGGTGGCCAAATGTGTTAACAAGGTCTGTCATTGAGTCAAATGGCATGGTTTTGATTACCCACTTGTAAGTGACATGCAGTAGGGTTGTGTATAATCATAATAATCTACTATCTCGCTCGTCTATAATCAAAGTAGTTGCGATCTTTGGGATATACATGTAAACATATATTTTAAGTTTTGTCAAAATCGGATAGAAATTGTGTTCCTTAGAGGGTCTACAAGCTTAAACATGATTTTCCGTACAAATAAATGTGGCTCCCTCAGTTGTCTGTGTGTAATCTCTTCTAATACTGATAACAAGTTATGTGGAAAATAAGACAACTGATGTTTTTTTTTTTTTAACAAATTTTCACAAGTTGATTTCCTTTATTTTGTTAAAGTAGAATGGTAATGAACTGCTCTTTTCATTTTCTTTGTTTTATTTGTTTCGTTTGAATTTGATTTATCAGTTTAGTTTTTGATTGTTTAATTTTTGTTAATGAAGTTGATTCTTTTAAACTTCGTTTTTATTTTTGAACTCTACTTGGTGTAGGTGTTCATCAGGTAATACCTCGACTGAGTTCAATATAGAGATTAGCCGGTTGATTTGTTGGATATAAACCTTTGAATAATAGTGCCTAACAGGCAGCTGTGTTTAATTATGTTCTCCTGATTTTGATTGTTTTTGTGTGTTTGAAGTATATGTTTGTGATATGCGCTTAGAAACACTTCACGTGTAATGAAGCGCTATATAAATCGAACAATAATAATAATAATAATTTACTATCTTGCTCATCTATAATCATAATCTACTATTTCGCTCATTTATAGTCTCACTCATCTATAATCACCATAATTTACTGTCACACTCACCTATAGTCACCATAATTTACTGTCTCACTCACCTATAGTCACCATAATTTACTGTCTCACTCACCTATAGTCAACATAATTTACTCTCTCACTCGCATATAATCACCATAATTTACTGTCACACTCGCCTATAGTCACCATAATTTACTGTCACACTCACCTATAGTCACCATAATTTACTGTCTCACTCACATATAATCACCATAATTTAATAAACCACACTCACCTATAGTCACCATAATTTACTGTCACACTCACCTATTGTCACCATAATTTACTGTCTCACTCACAAATAATCCCCATAATTTACTGTCTCACTCACCTATAATCACCATAATTTACTGCCTCACTCATCTATAATCACCATAATTTACTGTCACACTCACCTATAGTCTATAATCATAATAATTTACTATCTTGCTCATCTATAATCATAATCTACTATTTCGTTCATGTATAGTCACCATAATTTACTGTCACACTCACCTATAGTCACCATAATTTACTGTCTCAATCACCTAGTCACCATAATTTACTGCCTCACTCACATATAATCACCATAATTTAATGTCTCACTCATCTATTATAACTATAATTTACTCACTGTCACCTAGATATATAATTATCATAATTTACTTGCACGGCTATCTATATAGTATATATGGTTAATATATTTTAAACTGCAGTATTATTTCAGGGAATTGGAGAGAAAACGCCCATTTAGTTGTTATAGGTGCCATAGTTACCACAGCTCAATATGATTGGTGTAAATGTGAGGATGTAATAAGAGATTATGTATCAAATGGTGGTAGCTTATTTTGTATTGGTCACATTTTACGAAATCTCAATATGACAAACTTTTTTATTGGTAAGTTTATGTTAAGTGAGTGATTTACTTGAAAATTAATAAAGCTATTCTTACAAAACTTTTTGGACACAATTCTTCCATGGTCACACCCCCTTAAATAACGAGCACATAAAAATGACCATATAAAATGGGTGTGTACCCTGTCTTCATTCATTAGCCTGGTTGTAGAGAAAGGTAGGAATTCAACCCCATTGCCATTCATAATACATTAGAAGGTCGGTTTGTGCAGAAAAGTAGGACATCAAAAAGTAGAGTCCACAGAGGCTTACCTATTCATTTAGTAAATGTGATCATCTGCAGAGCTAAATAACACTAATCAGATTTACTTGATAATGACATGCAATAGTGCATCATGTATCGTAAAGCAGTGCCAAAGTCAGGTAGGCTGGGGGCCCCTAGACCAAACTGCCAGCCAGATCAACCCTCCATACAAATCCAGCCTCGGCGAGATCATATCCTTGATGGCAACACTGGCCAGACCTTGTTAAATTGATTATCCATTTATGTATTGATGAATTAATTGTAATTAAACTTAGACTATTGATGTTATTTATTTTCTTTATGTATTTGAAGACTTAATTGGGGTACAGTTTTGCACGAGTGAAAATTTCCCGGTGTCATATCATGATAATACGATTCTAACAACAAGACAGTCTTTTTGGACCGTTTGGGTGACTTAGCTGCATTTGAAGAGAATATCTCAACAACAGCAATTAATTATCATTAATTATTTACTTATCATTAATTATTTAACAATATCTTTTTAGATAAAGTGGGAAATGAAGAGGCAGAAAATTCGCTTGTTGGAATTAGGTTGCAAAGTGAAGTAGATGATGTAAATGTAAGTCTGTGTTGTCGTGGTAATCCTGTACTGTTGAAAATGACTGATTCGACTGACACTGTCTTAGCTTGGTATCAAGGAACAGATAATGCTATAGCAATTGTTACTAAAAACTTTGGAAAGGGGAAAATATGCGGCTGTGGTTTTAATCTAGAAATTACTTGTATGTATGAAGATCTTGAAAATCTGACCAAATCCAAACTTTTACCTCAAGAATTAGAACAGAATGTTTTTCATCAAGATAAACTCTTTCAAAATATTTTAAAGAGTTTGAGTATTGAGTAAGAAGAGCATTTATAACTAGAACTTAGATATCAATATTAAAAACCATTTGACTTTACAAAGTATATAATATTCAATCTAAGAAATTCATCTTATTATGATTACATGTAAAAATGTTTATTTTAACATTTACCATATGAATTCTAGTCCAAACTATGATTTACAATCTGATATTTTACGATTTCAGCTGCCATGGGGTTCTACCACATTCTACAATCCACATGATTTGTGCATGATTGGTCGATCCCCTGCAGATCATTATTTAGTGAACTATCATAAATAGACATTCTTTAAAAATCGATCAAAATTGCTTTGTTGATGTATGTAGCAACTGAAATGTGGGTTAACATCCTACTTTTCTGCACCGACTGGGCTAATGAAGATGGGCATACGCCTTACACTGCACCCTAGTTGGTAGCCTATGTAAAAGCTGACATCAGGTCAAGTCAAGCCATTCAGTGTGCTATGAGGGAAAGTTTTCCTGGACAGCCGTGCTACAGCTTACTCTTATATCGAATTCGAATTGTTAATGGTTCTTTTACTTGCTTGCTAACATGTACAAGGAACCTTCTTTTTTGTCCCATCCGAACAACTCAACGTTGACAAAGCTTGATCGTCCCCGAGAACTTTTTCAGCCAACACTGGGATAAAACCAAGGACCACTTGGTTAGCGAGCCAGCGAATTACTCACTGAGCCACCACGACTGCCCTATGCCGAAGCTTGTCTTTAGATTTGATCCTCTGCAGATGTTCAACCGATCTTGTGCAAAGCTGGAGGCATGTAAAATGTGGTGTTGTTTATGTTTACACATGGGTCTACAACAAGCATGCCAGTCAATGATCTGGTCGTGAACTAGGTCTTATTTCCTGGGGGTTTTTTAATCAGAGAGAGAGAGAGAGAAATGGGGTTTAAAGTCCACTCGACAGAAACTAGGTCATTTTGGGACTAACACTATGTTTAATTTTATTTCAATAATTCGCTTGCACGTAAGGGTCTTTAGCAGTGGGAGGAAACCAGAGCACCCCGAGAAAACCCACGAGGTTGGACAGGCGACCCTAGTCCTTGTCACGTACAACCGGGAATTCGAAACCACGCCAGTTGACTCAATAACAGACTTTATGGTACAGCAAGCACGTGCTAACCATTCAGCCATCCAACCCACCTTTTTAATCAGAATTTCAAAAATTTGTATTATTGCAGTTATTGAACAAAAATGAGAAAATTGGTCAATTAACTTTGTGGGCGTAATACTCCGTAATAGGAGGTCAAAATGTTAATATGTCAGCTTAGAATTTACCAAAGTGTATTTTACAAGTATTTATGTTTATTGTGTATATCAGATTATTATTGTGTTTTAGTATTTTACAAGTATTTATCTTTATTGTGTATATCAGATTATTATTGTGTTATAGAATTAAATTCGGTTGTATGTCTTTTAATCAATACCAAACCAAAAGTATTTATGTTTATTGTGTATATCAGAATGAAATTGGGTTGTATGTCTTTGGGTTGTATGTCTTTCAATCAATACCAAACCAAAAGGTTAAACTTGTCATTGACCTATGTTATTGTTATTATTGTTATTTGTCTAGATAGTGTCAATCACTTGAGACCAAATCTTCTCCTCTTAGACTACACCTACTGCAAATAGCGTACTGTTGAATTGCTTATTTTGTAGGGATTTCAACATAAATGTTAAACATGCATTATGCAAGAGCAAAATCTGCTTATTACAAGTCTTTCTTTAGGTCTGAAATGTTATCTAAATTATCAATTAGACATTAATTATCCAGACCATAATAAACTCTTGATGTCAAGGCTAGCCTTCGATTCAGGCTGGATTAGATTCCTACATGCCGCTAACGGCCAAAGATAATTAAATCAGAAAAAGTGGATAATCGAGACTATGCTGTTTATATTAATGATTTTAGTAATGATGACCGAGACTATGCAAAAATTTCACCCGCTTCTTTCTGGGCTCATAGTGGATCGATTTGACTGAAATTTTCAGCAAATTACCTTTACACTATCTAGTTTTTAACTATTATAGCGAGAACTGCCATCTCTTTATCTTATCTCTCATAATGTATCTTTAACATATTGATATAGAGAAATTCAATATTATTAGATACCTTATCACTTAATCAACTTGTGAGTGATCACACCCATATCTCTGGTAACCCAATTGACTTAATATTGATTCATGAAATACTGATTTCTTGCCAACTGATATTTCTTCTTTTTTTTAAAAAAAAAAATATAACAGTTTTATTTTCAAATAGAAATGTCATATACAAATTTCAGTATAATCAAAATTATCAAATATAACATGATTATTTTTATATATACAGTATCTACATGATTACAATATGATTATTATTGTTATATACAAAACATTTACATCCATTTGATAATATCAGTTCATATTTGAAAAAGTAAATACGTCAATATACAATTGAATGTTATTAGTATACCTTTAAAAATCATATTCTTTCCTTTCTTAAGAAATAAAAATCAGTAATATGTTTTAAAACCTTTTTTTAAGTCACTGTTTTGGAGATGATCGTTTTATGAATTAAGTTGTCAGCTCTTTACCCCGTTTCGTTATGTTATCTCCCTTTGATGTATGGGGTGGGGAGTATACATATTTAGGTGTTTACTGAACAAAAAACTATCAAAAAATACAGGTTATAGAAGCTATGCTCCTTTCAACGAAAGCCAAAAAAAGAAAGAAGAATTATAGCTACCACTTTATGCAGATTGAATGCTTGGTATATTTATGGTTTTATAAAGCTCTTTTCTCACATATAGTAATAATTGAATGATAAGGGTATGCGACCAGCCTAATTCTTCAATGATGTTGCATTCTACATATTTCCATTTATTAAGGGTATAATTACTTTGATTTAAATAAATGTACTTCAGCTACTTCTAATTCTAATGTATATTTACTCATTAAAAAGGCATTATATTGAGATAGTGAGGTTGTTTTTTTTTAACTTTAGATCTAAATATATAGTATTTGGTAAGTAATTATTGAAGCTTGTTTTTTTCTGAATACCCAAGGGTAGTTTACTTTTAAGGGTAGTTTTTAGCATTTTGTTGGGTAAAGCTGCAGAAAATGAATAAGAGATTTACTGTTTCAATATTGGAGTGACAAAAGGTGCAGAGGGTGGATTCGGTTAATTTATATAGTAATGCGTTTGTATTTATTATTTTATGAATATACTTATTTTTTGAAGTTTATTTGTTGTCTATACTTATATTATGTTCAAGATTAAGAATTAAGATCTCTTTCTTATGTTGTTCATTCACTTCGATTTCTAATATTTGTTTCCCGTTATCTATAGCCGATCGTTTTTTCTTAGAGCAAACTGATTCGCACGGAATATTTGTGTTTAGCACTGCAGTGATTGATGTTTATATCAAGATATTAGGTTAATGTTTATTTCTTCCTGATAAGTAATACTCTTACAGTTCTGTGTTTCGTTTAGTTTTTAGAAATCTTATGACAGCTAATATATACTTTTTATATGAAGGTTTACAATGTTCGTCAATTACCCGTTTACTTGAAGGAGCTAAATTGCTAATATTTGGGACTTAGAAATTGACACAAATGGCTCGCAATTACTCGAAATGCATATAAAAATGTAATATGAATGTATATAAACTGATTTACATTCAATAGTTTTGTTTTTACTGTAATTTTTAATCAATAACATGCGGCGAAATATGGCAGGAGTCTCAATCGAATGGCAATTTCTAGTGTCTGGTTATTCCAGTCTACCCCTATTGCGCATGCTCTCCAGATAAGAATATCGTCACTGTTTGACATGTCTTGTGGAATAGGCTAAATCTATGTCCTCAAGTCCCCTGTTACAAATGGCGCTGAAATGGATTATAGTATACAATGGTAAAATGTTCATTTTGTCTTAAATATTGGATATCAGAAGCTTTTTTTTTCATGTTAAGATCACAACATCAATGTTGATTTAAATTGACAAATAAGTAGAGTTTTCAACGTCCAAGACTTTGGATGATATTTAGTTAGTGACTTAGCTATTTTAAGTATCTACATAATAGATAGAACAAACTCTTATTGGTTGCACTGTGGCTCGGTTGGTTTCAAAATGGATTAATTTATCAACATGTTTAGTATATGTAGAGTGCTAATTTTGAAATAATTCTTAATAAGATGGAGATAAATATGTAAGTTTAATAGTTCTATGATTAAAGTCAATAAGGACATTTGGTGGTCTGCATCCAAATGCTTTAAAAGGAGTTAGTTCCCTTTAGCTGTAGCAGACAGATTTTAAAAGCGCCACCTTGTGCACGTTTTCTTCATTTATTTCTTGAGTTTGTAGCCTAGATTTGATTACATTAATTTGATACGTGCTTGCCAAATATAACGAAATCTAGAACAAATATTTTACAAATTCTCAATTATGTAGCATAATGTAGGGGGTTTTTTTTGTTTAATTTTTTTTAAAAATTTTAAAAAAAAGATCACCGGTGTGACACTGACAGTGACCCCACCTTCACTTACCATGTTTTTAAAAAAATATGTTGATATGTTAAAGTATATTGTACCTTTGATTTAAGCATGTGATTGTCATAGAAGAAAAACACATTTCCAAATCATTTCATATAATTTCACAAAGTTACCATGGTAAAAGATGCTTTCGATCACGTCCGCGTTTAAACAATCGACATGACGTCATTTATCTGTACATTTTTCATTCTGAGCGAAAAAAGAAGTTAGATAAGGTATGGATGATATTTGTTCATTTACTTTTGAAATATTTCAATGTAAAATCATTTCTGATCATTTTTTTTTAAATTTTGGCTTTACAGTTTAATGGAGGCCTATAATTTTGAAATATTTCAATGGGAAATAATTTATTATAATATGATCATTTTACTTTTATTGTAATGTACTAATGTAGGCGTAAAGTTTAATAATTGATATGCGGACATTTTCTTTTATTTATTGGACCTAAGCCATATTGTTGTATAATATTAAACAATTATGTCGTTTAATTTGGATCACTTTGTGTTCCGTCAGATTTATCAATTTAGTTCTACTTTTTGCCGACTGTGATGCAGTATGGGGGGCCTGACAAGGACAGCTGTCTAGTCTTTCGGATGGGACGAAAAACCGAGGTCCCGTGTACACATTGGCGTGCACGCAAAAGATCCCTTGGCAGTTGGAGTTCGATATAAGAGTAGGCCGTAGCGCCGCTGCCCGGGCAAAATTTCCCCCATAGCACACTGTATGGCGTATGCCCGTCTTCATTAGCCCAGGTTAGGAGCAAAACAGTAGGATGTTAAACCCCATTTCATTTTATTTCATTTTTTTGCCGACTGTCTCCATACATGGAACATAAAATAGATTAGGCCTATATCTCAACACTGGCTTTGGACGGACTCTCAGCTAGAGAAAAATTCCTGATTGTGTTTTAATCACTAAACCTCCCCACACTTACGAAAACCTTAGAATAAAGGACGTTGAATCCCATTTAACAATTCATTCATTTATTCACACGAAAACCTTCATACGGAGACTGGTAATAATAATTCGTAGACGAAACGTTGTTGTACTGATTAGATTTTGGGGATCACGGTGGCTAAGTGGGTAAGACGCTGGCTCGCTAGCCTGGAGGTCGGGTGTTCGATTTCTGCATTGGCCGAGAAAGTTTATCCATATTTTCCGGTGTGGTTCTCCCTTGCCAGCGATTCAGGACGGAGGGCCTGACAAGGACAGCTGTCTAAAGTCGTTCGGGTGGGACGAAAAAACTAGAACCCCGTGTACACCTTTGCGTGCACGTAAAAGATCCCTTGACAGTTGGAATTCGATATAAAGAGTAGGCCGTAGAGCCACTGTCCGGGAAAAATTTCCCTCATACCACACTGCATGGTGTATGCCCGTCTTCATTAGCCTAGTTCGGAACAGAACAGTAGGACGTTAAACTCGATTTCATTTCACTTCATTTCTGATTGGATGTACAGATTCTTAGTTCGGTGATCACTGATCAGTATATATTATAGAGTACCAATTTTGAAAAAAATTATTGATAAAATGGAGATAAGTTTTTAAGTTTAATAGATACATGCTGATGTTAAATCGCCCCCCCCCCCCCCACATGTCAAGAATAAAATTATATGTTATTTTCCAAGTCTGTGTTGAATTAGTATCTATTATATTTGTCTAGTCGTTCGGGTTGTACGAAAAGCCAAGGTCCTGTGTACACATTGGCGTGCACGTAAAAGATCCCTTAACAGTTGGAATTCGATATAAGAGTAGGCTGTCCGGGAAAATTTTCCCTCTTAGCACACTGTATGACGTATGTCCGTCTTCATTAGCTCAGTTCGGAGCAGAACAATACGACGTTAAATCCCATTGCATTTGCATTTCTTTTTTACATACACTGGTATTGTTAGAGCTGACGCTGCATACAGTATTTTTGATAATTTGTGATTATTTGAATCTAGCCGATCAATGTAGTTCTTGTTCTTTAGTTCTTTCTGTTGACAGGGGAACCTCCACTGCCAATTTAATGTGGAATGGTGTAGATCTTGTTCTTCATTAGTCCTTCCGTTACCAGGGGAACCTCCAATGAGAGGATACAAGTGTTATTGAATAAATGCGGTGTAAGTTTAATGACAGAATGAACACCATCATACACCAACACCAGAACTGAAAATCTAAACTTAACCATATCTAAAATAAATATTCAATCTATATATTTACTCGACTCTGATTGCATGATTGATTAATACAACAAATAAAAAATAAATGGAAATCGTTTGTCAAGCAAAAATTTAGTTCGTTTTGCATGGTAAGTTTTGTTGATTTGATCTTAAATAGAAGATGAGAATTAGAATTGACATTTTCTGCCAAATTTTGGTAATTGTTCAGGTTTACGGAAGAAATGAATAGTTTATGTTACATGTTTACTAGTATGTTACTTTCAATATGGGCGTCTCAAAGTTTCCATACTTAGCCTCCTGCAATCTTTTGAGCAAGATGAACTGTTCTGCATCCAAATGCGTCAACAGGAGTTAGTTCCCTTTAGCTATGGCAGATCAATTTTAAAAGGAGAGAGAGGGGGGGGGGAGATTAACGTCCACTCGACACAAACTAGGTAATTTCGGGACTAACACATGGTTTTAATTTTATTTCAATAATTCGCTTGCGCGTAGAGGTCCTTAGCAGTGGGAGGACCCGGAGAAAACCCACGAGGTTGAACAGGGACCCTACTCTACTTGTCACGTACAACTCAATGACAGACTTTATGATACAGCGCGCACACCTAGAACGCTAGATTGTGCACGTTTTCTTCACTAATTATTTCTTGATTTTGTAGCCTAGATCTGATTTTATTAATTTGATACGTGCTTGCAAAAGATAATGAAATTCTCAGTTATGTAGCATTCTGTGTTGGGTTTTTTTTTGGGTTTTTTTTTAATTTTTTAAAATTTAAAAAAAAGATCCCCGGCTCCGCGTATTCCTAATAGTTAACCCTCCTTCACCTAACAAGTTTTTAAAAAAATATATTGATAGGTTAAAGTATAATGTAGGCTACCTTTAATTTATGCATGTGATTGTGATAGAAGAAAAGCACATTTCCAAATCGGAAATCATTTCATATGGCACAAAGTTACCATAGTAAAAGATGCTTTCAATCACGTCCGCGTTTCAACAATCGACATGACGTCATTTATCTGTTCATTTTTCATTTTGAGCGAAAAAAGAAGTTAGATCAGGTATGGATGCTATTTGTTAATTTACTTTTGAAATATTTCAATGTAAAATCATTTATGATCATTTTTATTTTCATTTTGGCTTTACAGTTTAATGGAGACCTATAATTTTGAAATATTTCAATGGGAAATAATTTATTAATATTATATGATCATTTTACTTTTATTGTAATGTAGGCCTAAAGTTTAATAATAGATATGCGGACATTTTCTTTTATTTATTGGACCTAAGACCTATATTGTTGTATAATATTAAACAATTCTGTCGTTTAATTTGGATCAGTTTGTGTTGCGTCAGATTTATCAATTTAGTTCTACATTTTGCCGACAATGTCCATATACAGGAGCATAAAATAGATTGGGCCTATATCTCAACATTGGTTTTGCACGGACTCTTACAGCTAGATAATAATATCTGGTTGTGTTTTAAGAGCGTGTCCGCGAGAAAACCATGCAGAAGGTGCTAAGGCTTCAATC